CTACAATTGCTTAAATGTAGCGCCGCTACCGCTACTGAAAATGTAGCGGCCGCTACATGTAGCGCGCTACTGCCCACCTCTGCATTTATATAATAACTTGAGACGTATCCTTTTACTATTCGGATTGGAGCTCGGCAATTGAAATGATTTTTGCTACGAATACATGTTGTGGTTTATTATGTTACTTGATTTTGACAGGCAAATACAAATGGATAAGCACGTTTTTTTTTCAAAAATTGTGTTCTATGATGGTTTGGAGGAGGCCATACTAGCTGTAGCTGGTGACATCAGCTGACTGGACAGACTTTGATTTGCCTCCAGCTCAATCACAGAATCAGATTCATCGATCTTGCCTTAAGCAATCTCGTTCAACAAGAAGTTTGGAAAGAAATATCAACAACATTTTAAAATACAACAAAGTTTAAGTTGTAAAAAATATAATAGTTTGATCTTCAAAAAAGAACTCGAAATATCCATGTGTATTCTTTCTAAATAACGTTAAACAAGCCCAAGTGTTTGATAACAATTTAGGAAACTGCGTAATTGTGAAGATTTCCTGGAGGCGTAGCACAAAATTTTACTAAAGGCAGAGATAATATAATACTAGCTTTAGTATTATTAGGAATATCTTACCAGGACTCCACTGTCTTCTAATTGGCCGACTAATCTAGACACTGCGTCCATACTCCCTATGCGCTCCACGGCGCCTGAACTCGTTCCGAACGCATAATAAACTCGACTCATATTCGTACGATTCCCATAAGTGCCATTGAAGCTTTAGTTAAGACTTGAGAGTAACATTTTTGACTCAATACTCAGCCATGCATACATCGACAGGTTTGCAGTGTTTGTCGGACCACTAATTAACTGCCATGTCAGTTAGTCAGACAAATTTTGCTAAATCTGCAATTAACTCAATTTAACTGGTATCTGTCTATGGCCCTATTAGCAATAAAGGGCTAACTTGTCATGCTTTGACTTTAACCCATGTCATTGAAATAATTCGTATCGTAATCGAAAAACTTGTTTTGTCTTAAATAATTAAGACAAATCTCGTCTCGTCTCGTTATGTCTCGTTTCAAATCTGTCTGTCTCGTCCCGGTCCAGAATTTACCGGGACACAAGTTTTAAAGTCCGGGACAGAAGTCTTGTCTCGGTTCATACGTTTATTCCGGGACAAATTTTACCCTCTGTCCCGTTATTTTTTTCCCGGAATTTTCTCGTCTCGTTTCGTCTGTCCCGGTTCATTTCGAGAAAATTATTTCGAGACGCAGGAGTCTATTACAGTCAAGAAGTTTTGTAGGCTACGTTCATCAGGGAAGGGATCATGATAGTCCATTCGAAGCACGGCAGTGGTGGTCTCTAACAGGCGTCCCCTAGAAATTATGAAACTATTAAATAGCAGCGTAGTTATAATTCACTTTAAATATTGAAATATTTATCTGCACGAATCCTGCGTGTTCTTAAATTAAAAACAACTATATAATCAGTTTTGTGAATTACTGCATAATCAGTGTGGCCTGACTTGTTGATCAGTGGGAATAACTATTCGGCATGGCCAATAATTTGCTCCTCTGCGGCTGGATTTTTGTTTCTCGTTTACTTAGATTCCTCTCTCCCAATTTCCTCTCTCTTATTTCTATCTGCCAGCGCACCACTTTTGCGCGTGATGAAGCAGATCCAGACCAAGTAGACCCAGACCTGTACATCCAGAGCCAGCAGACACGAGCAGTAGACCTAGACCAAGCAGACCCAAACCTGTACATCCAGAACCAGAAGATCAAGAACCAGCAGACTCGAGCCCAGTATACCAGATCCAGCAGACCTTGAGCAACTAGATCCAGATCCAGGCCTGTACATCCAGACAGCAGATTCAGACCCAAAAGATCCAGAACCAGCAGACTCGAGCCCAGTAGAGCAGACCCGGACCCAGACTTGTACATCCAGACCCAGTAGATCCAGATCCAGCAGACCCAGCAGTTCCGGGCTCAGTAGACCCGGAACCAGCCCCTCCGAGTGCAGGCAAACCAGATGAACGAGAGTTATTCTATGCTCTCCAAATTTTTAGTAGCTATGAAAGAGTTCACGTCATGCACTCCTAAGTTCAATTTTCATTCATTGCATCATTAACGTGAGACAATGGAATATGTGTTAGAACATGAGTACTGCCATAAATGACGGATGTTATTCTAAAAGGAATCTCCACATTGATTTGACATATCGAAATTCGTAGGACCGAATGAAGTATTGGGATCAATTTTCCTAGCGACAAAAAACTCTAAAAATTACCATTAGTAATTGATCAATCAATTTGTTACATCAGTTATCTTTTGTGAACAATACGACTTGTAACATGAACTTTATTTCTTGACGAATAGGACAACATTTCTTCTGGCTTCGAGTCACCGACATGTGGAACAGCCTCCCTCTTGGCATCGTTGATGCTCTGAGTATGACGCCTTCAATAACAGACTAGACAAAGCTATGCAGGAGCATATGTTCTGTCATGAAATGCCTATCACCTTACGGACCTGGCAATAAGTCCAGCAGCTATCTCAAACAATTGCCAGTTTTGAACATATCTGGTTCAAAAGGCCGCATCCCTTGTGGAATCACGTCACGAAAAGTAAAAGAATCGGCAACAGGCCATGGGCCTATTTATTTAGTGTCGACACTTCTATTCCAAAATCTATGCTCACCTTTAGGTGAGGCAGAGCGCGCCTAGTCCACCATCGTACAAGCCACGTGATTGTTCCATTGTTTTGGTACCGAGAACTCATTTCCTCTTTTTAGATGCTAGACAAATTGCGTGTATTATCGTGGCTGGAGTTATGTCTTCAGAGCTCCTATAAAATTCTGTGCCCTCTTGATCAGAAATGTACCGGGTGTGACTGGATTGGAACCCAAAATCTGGCAGAATCTGATGAAGAGCATTGGAATTGGGTGCGTGCTGCCGTAAACGCTGCATAAAAGCTCTTTTACTAGCGTCAAAAAATAAAAGGTCACGTCGCACTCGTAAGTTAACTAGAAGTTCAATTAATACGTATGCGCGGCATTCCTAGGAGACTAAAACGTTCCGTTATGCATGCCAACAACTTAACACAACAGAAACAATGTACTAAAACATTCGGCACGGTCACCTTTGCCTTCCCACCTTCCCCTCTCTCAACCCTCCACTCATCATACCCAACTCTTATCATCCTCCACACTTTGTCCAAATATCTCTTCACACTCTCAAGCTTATAGCTACAGTTGCTCCCTTTAGACAGACCCATAATCATTGCCATCCTTTCGTCGCTTGTTCTCTCATACGCCCCTCATTCCATCACCATGTGCTCCACAGTTTCCTTCTCATCCTCATTACACACATAAAACATTTATTTATCTTCCCTCCTCTCAATCCACCTGTATGTACGTCCTGTATGTACCTGTATGTACATACAGGTATCCATATATCCATTATCCGAGCCATGTTGTGGTTCGTCGTTCGCCTGTGACGTCACTGATCTAAGTGACGTCACGGTCATAAACCAATCCCCGAAATGCGATCAAACCTGTCAACCAATCCGTCATGGGAATGACGGGATTGATTATGTTTCTCGATCTCAGTGACGTACCAAGAAAGCTAAACTGAAAGACGGAACTTCTCATGGGTCAACCTTATATAATTTAACCATGTATCTGAAGTACTTAAGCCTTAATGTTGTAGCAACAGGATTCCCAGAAGCCTTTTCCCTTAAAAGGATTTTGAATCAATTTCTGTAGCAACGATGTGTTGAAATTTCACGCGTTTTTTTTCTGCTGGTAGAGGTGAAGGGGTCCGCCACCGTTGACTATGGGAGTTTCATTTGTGGCGCAGCGTTGCCAGATGGTATATTTCTATACCAGATTTCACAAATCTGGTATTTTCAGAAGGTGTCTGGTATGAACATTTTAGATCTGGTATATTTGCCTAAATCTGGTATTTTTCTGGTATTTTCTGACTTACTGCAAATTTACTGCATTAAGTTCCACCTCTGAAGTTTGAATTCCCTCCAACGTAGGCGTGGATTATATAGATTACCATCAGAGTGCGCGACTAGAGGTTTCCCGCCATTTTTGGAACCGCAAGTTTACCGCTTGATAAAATAACCCCAATTTAATTGTTAACATTTAACCAAAGTGCTTAGTGCAATATGAGCATGAGAGTGATGATCCTCGATTGATTACTGATCAGTGATGAACTGATGTGGCCTAGGACAAGTGAGGTTGTCGAACCGATCTCTGCGACGCAAGCTCCACCATTTTTGTTTGGTGGTTTTGAAATCTAGAGTGCCACTTATTGGAGTGCCACTTGAATTCTGGGGTGCCATTCAATATTTCACTGATTTTGACAATTATCATCGATTCAGGGAACTGGCTGCCTACTGCATCACTTGTCTACTTTGACCTGTCTCCAAAGCATTCGTGGTGCAAGTGTTTTCACAATTCACCTATGTGAAAAACAAGCAATGAAATAAAATTTCAACTAAGGTACTGGAGTCCGTTATTCGGACCAAAAGCTATCTGCTCAACCTCAATAAGTGATCACACCCGAAATGTTAGATTAATGCAATATGCAAGCATGTACGAAAATAAGCAAAATGAAGATGACCTGTTTCCGTGGCTTGCTCATGTTGAGCGAAGAGGAAAAATTGCCACAATAACACTGATAAAAAAAGGAAAAAGTCTCAATGTAATCAAACACAGGAAAAGAAAAGTGTCAAAATGTACCAAACAGAGGGGAAAAAATATAACGTGTTCAATTTGGCTAATTATCGTCAAGCCAGATAACTACACAGTACATAAGATAATTTTTTTTCTAACAAACGTTTCTGACGAATACTTTTAATAAATTTGGAGGTATTAGTCTTTTTTTGAACGAGAGAATTTCTGGTATTTTGAGCTAGGCAATCTGGTATTCTCGCTAAGAAAAAACCTGGCAAAACTGTTGTGGCGTAGACGCGTAGTACGTTGTTTTGTTCCGAAAGCAACTCTGTTGTCGCTTCTGCGTGCAACTTTGCAAGCATTAAAGGCCCTTGATATGTTTTTTTTTCTAGATACGTTATTTTTCCGTTCACAAACATGGATACTGAATTGAATAGTTAATATAATAAAAGATGAGAACAGTCACAACACCGAATAGCGTATACTTTTACGTTTGATTTGTTTTAGAATTTGGATTGGAATAAGAGTTGATAGCATAGCTAAGGCCTAAGCTTCATTGTTACTCTAATTATAAAGTTGGACTGTGGGAATTGAGAAAAGTATCGACCCTTCGGTAACGTGCCTGTTCAACTAACACAGTTCACTTGTAAGTGTAAGTAAATTTGTAGCCTTGTAGGTATAATTATACGCTACCCGGGGCGGTAACTCATATTCATATAATTATAAATACCTACAGCCGCTACATAGGCTACAAACGCTACATTGCTACAACGCTACATTACCTACTAACATTAGTAACACAGTAACACTACCTATTCACTATAGATGTAATTCTCTCTTTTTTACTTTCAGTACTGGAAAGTGGAAACTCATAATCTGAATCTACAAAGTTAACAAGCTACAAAATCCTGCAGAATATCATTGAATACCTGCAATTTTTAAGTGGTTCTACAATCTACACAAAAATATTCATATTGTGCAAGTTTGTTGTGATAATGTGATTCATGGATGATGGCTCAAAAACTAATTATTGAAACCTGTAAAGTTGTGATTCATGGCTCAGTCTCACAGTCTCACTAACTAATTATATACTGAAACTTGTGATTCATGGCTCAAAAAATAAATTTAGTTATAGTTTCAGTTTGAATATAGGTAGAAACACAATAGTTATTCTCATCTTGTTAGAAATTGCTTTCTGCTCTGTAAAATGTAAATGAAAATTTAATGAGTAGTCAAAAAATTAGTTACTTTCCTAAGAAATTTGTGGTATCACAATGGTTTAAGTGAGATTATGGAAAAGATTATGAATTTCTAGAGAATTAATCAATTCTAGGACAAGACATAGATATTCCTCCCAATTTCCCAAAATTCATCATTTTATGCCAAATCCCAATTCTGTTGCAACTTGCAAGTATGAAAAAAAATGGAAAATTATTAGGTATGTCTGTTGGGACTTGCCGACTTGGGGAAGTGAAATTTCCAGTTGGGGCACAACTTGAGTGTCATTGATGCTGAATGTCAGTTAGCCTATATTCTAATAATTTTTCATGAGATTTTACTTTTCTTCAAAAAATTGCAGTAAAAAGCATCAATGAGGCTGGTGAAATTTCTGTTAAAGCCATTAATCACCCAATAATTGTGAACTATTAATAGTATTTCAGAATTTTAATGTTGTTTTGTTTTGTGTATGAAAATTGCTACAAATGTATTATCTATTTAATGTTCCTTCTTTCAGCAACTCATGGCTATGGCTAGAATATTAAGCCATCTTCCATGTTACTTCAAGTGGAGAGCCACTGTGGAGCCAGTGGTCATGCTGTACATGCTGCCTACATTCATGCTGCTGCCTCTACTGCAAGATCTTATTTACAATAAGGTTATATCACTTCTTACTTGCATTGAAAGCAATATGGCATTGTTTTTTAATCTGAAATGGTTATTTTAATGTCTTCTCAAAACAATGACCAAAATTTTTTTAATACAAAAAATTATGTAATTAATTACTTGTTAGGTCATAGACGAGTTACTGAATACTGAGGCATGATTGTTCTAATATATTTGATACATACATGTAAAAAATGTGTTCTAAAATTTGAAAACTATATAAAGGAAACATTCTCTACTTGCAGGTGTGTCTGTCAATGTACAAACCCCTAGTCTGCAAAAACTTGAATGAAACCGCAAATTTAGAAGCAATGAATGAAGTGCAAGCCCACTCAGCACACTGGATCCAAGCCTCCACTATTGTGATGTGCCTTCCATCCATGATTGTAGGGCAAATACTTGGCACATATAGTGATGAAAGGGGAAGAAAAATTCCCCTTATCTTTCCTCCTCTTGGTAAGTTCCTGTACAGGTACCTACTGCACTTTTTTTGCCAAAGTAACAAGTATTTGTGGTTTATTGAGAACCAAAAACATTTATGCTCAAACAAAAATTCTCTACTTTCACAGGTCAGAAGTTTCAAGTTTGCAATTGATCACCTGATCTAATTCAAAGTCTCTGAGTTATATTAATTAATAAGGCTTTATACATGTCAGTAATTTGATATACCTACATACCTAAGAATATTTGCACTTGGATTTCGTGTGGCTTTGTGCATTATACAATTTAATGACCTAAATTTGCTCTGGTGATGACCTAAATTTGATTTAATGACCTAAATTTGCTAAAAAGTCTGGTGTCATTAATTGCCAAATATTTCTTATTTCAGGTGGGGTGCTAGCAAGTCTTGTGTATGTACTGCTGAGTGGTAATGTTGTTGACTTGGATGTATCATGGATTCTTTTGGCATCTTTCTTGACTGGTCTTGGTGGAGCCTTTCCTGGCTGCCTCAACACATGTGCCAGCTACCTCTCTGAGGCATGTAAACTATTTTGCTGTTAAATAATCCATTTAATTTGTCTTGCAGTGAAAATTCTTCAATTTATGGAGCTTAAGTTATTTTTTTTTCCAAAGTAAGGATAAAGTTGTTTCAGTGTTAATAAATTTTTTGGAGTAGCTATATGTTCTATTATTGTATTTATTATCTAATTATTATCTGTATTTATTATCTGTAATATTTCCGATGAAAATTCTTACCTATGTTATATACAAAGATGCAATAGTTCATACATCTTGATTAATTGTTGATTTTAATCTGTGCAGGTGAGTACACAAGTGGTGCGCACATCGCGCATCGGGCTGATGGAAGTCATGAGTCTGATTGGGGCATGCCTGGGGCCACTGTTGGTAGGATTGCTGCAGAACTACTACAACAAGGACAAAATCTTCACTGTCATCCTAGCCCTGCACGCTGTCAACGTCATCTACATCTTGCTCTTAGTGCCCAACGTTTATGCTAGGTACGTATTTTTGGAAATCAACTTCAACAGGGAAGACAAAATTTACTGTTTTTCTTTTTCAGGCTTATCATGCAGGAATCTTTATATACCTGTTGAATTCAATATCTTAGAAAGTTTACCATAGTTTTGCAAACAATGCATAAAATTGTAAATTAAATTAGTGTCAGTCAGTCATCATTAAATGTGTTCTATGTTAAAGTTTTTCAACTTGATTTAGAACAATAATATGAATGTAAATACATTTTTATTTATGAGTGAATCGAAAATTTATGATTAGATTCTACACTGTTCATTGTAGTTACAATTTTATAGTTCTTATCTTTCTTCACGTAGTACGGATTTCTGACTGCTAAAATAATTTGTTAAAGCTGCAGCTTCAAGTTCCTGCTGTTTCATGTGTCCTATTAATGGTTACTTTTTTGTTGCTCTAGGAGCTATGATCTTGAACAAGAAGAATTGTAGATAGATTAAAAATATGCGTTTAAAAATTGTTTTTTAAAGACAACACTTCTGAAGAATCCAGTATCTTGGATGTTACACGTGTACAATGAATTTATAATTTCATTTTCTAATATTAAAAAAAATTATTCTTCAAATTTTTTTTAAATATCAAAATTTTGTAAATTTTAAAAATTATTTATTCTGTCAATTGATTCATGCATTGTCTCTGACTTTATGCAATTGTGCAAAATTTCAGATCAATTGGACAGGTCAAATTGTGTCATATATGGATTATAAGATTTGTAGGAATCGAAATTATTTTTTAAATTTTTTTAATTTAAAAAAAATTTAATTTACAAAATTATTTATTCTGTCAATTGATTCGTGCATTGTCTCCAACTTTACGCAAGTGTGCCAAATTTCAAATCGATTGGACAGGTAGAAGTGTGTTAAATATCGATTATAAGATTTGTAGCAGACAGACAGACAGACAGACAGACAGACAAACAAGAAGTGAAGTTAAAGAGAAGTGTTGTAAAAAGACTGACACTGTGAATGATTGCTTGCAGTGTTTCAGAGTTGTGATTATAAAAGTTACGGTATCTTTGGAGTAGATTTACTATTTTCTGATGCTCATCTTATTATGAACTTACATAGAGGTTATATTTTCCTTTATGCTTTATCATTGTTACCCTCAAATGAGCGTCAGGTATCAATAAATGTTGAAAATTTCATGGTCAGTTCAGTGGTTATAAACAATCTTCAACCCATTATGTTCATGTAATAATGTTATGTTATTATGTCCCATCATGTTCTTCCCATTATGTTCTCCCATGTCCCATTATGTTCTTCAACACATGTAATAATACTCGAAAGGTTAGCGCATGTAATATATACATATGTAAATGTGTTTAGACTGCAAGTAACTAGAATCTCTCTACCTGATCAGCCGCCATGTGTCCCGGCTGTGTCCAGGGGAGCGGACCAGCAGCGAGAACAGCTCGGGGAGAGGCAGCATCCTTGCCTTCACATGGCAGCGCGTCAAGCTCATGTTCGGCGTGATCTGCAAGACGCGACATGAGAACAGGAAGACTTACCTACTCCTACTTCTCTTGGCCGCCGCGATCTTGATGTTCTGCACTACTGGTGCGATTCTTCACCCAAGCATCAGCCCATTAAGCATATTCTCATATTGTCTTTTTCTGTTGACTTGACTTAAGTTGAAAATTAAATTTTTGCTGTTATTTCAGAGTACCCTATGAGAAAAGATCAAACATTTTTTCATTAAATCCCATGGCAGATGATGTTCCAAAATGTTAATTTCCCTCTCAATGTTAATTTGATGACAGTATTCGCATGAATCTTAAGCCATTTAACCTATTTTCGTAGTTATATGTATTGATTTACTTATTCATTTTTGTGAATCCAGGGTGAGTGAATTTTATTGATTGAATCCAGATTGTTGTATTTCATTGTCTGCACTTCATTTACGTGTCGTGAGTAACAACTATTTGGTGAACAAAAAAATCTTGTTTTCTCTTGAACACCAATCATGAAGCATTGTCCTCCTAGGAACGTTGGACGTGCTATACTTGTTCGTCAAGGACCGCCCCCTTGACTGGTCACTTGAGCAATACTCACGCTACTTCGCACTCAACTATGGCCTCGCTCTCGCCAGCCTCCTTCTGGTTAGTCAATATACATTGGAAACTAAATTAGATCTTATTGGTCCTGTGTTACACCGTATTCTGTTACTCCTTTGATTGTAAAATCGCAGTCAATTAATTTCTGAACAAGTTGTCATCTGATCCTCAGTAAAATATCTAAATGATATTTCTGCATTTCTATTCAGTGAAATATTTATGCTTAGAAGTAGAGATTATATATCTTGATTTTGCTGCTTGTTTCGCTTAGTGTTACTCTAGTATTTTCACTTTTTATTCCATCAGCTGTATCTTTATATTTTTAAGTTGAGAAAATAGATCTAACATCCCCCTGAATAAATGAATATGTTGAGATTAATGAAATGAACTTCAGGTGATGCTGCCACTTAGTCGCTGCACGAGCGATGCTGTGATCCTCTTTGTCGGCTCCATGAGCCGCCTTGCATTTCTGCTCCTACTTGGGTTTGCGAACACCTCCCTGCTTGTGTACATTAGTGAGTTGAATCAAATACCCTTTTTTCAGACAGAATGTTATGTTGTTCACTGTTTTGCGTTGTGCATCCTAATACAGTGTGGCTTTATGGTAGCATTTTTGACATTGGCCCCATTGTCTATAAATGGATGCGCGGCTCAATCGAGTTTGATATGTGGTAGTATGTATAATAAAACTTTAAATTCGCGCTCTCAGTCGTATGTGCGTAGAATGTATTATGAACTACAAAGATAAACTACATTAAGGTATTAAACTTTAATGTATTAAATATTATATTATTATATTTTAAATAAACTTTAATGTAGTAAAATATAATAAACTGAACTACATTAAAGAATATTGTACCTTATAGTACAATATTCACGTGATGAATGTTCTTGACTGAACTACTGAACCAACATACCTACATGATATTCCAGCAAGTGTTGTGGGGTGCGCCTCCAGCTGGTGCCTGCCAGCGTTACGTTCTTCAATGTCTAAGTTGGTTGAACCCGAGGAGCTTGGTGAGTATTCCTTCTAATTATAATGATTCTTAATTTCCTTTGCTTTAATTTGAAATCCATACAGTACGCTCTTAAATTTTATATCATTGAATTGACAGTTAATATAATTTAGACTGAAATTGTGATTTTCTTGCAAATGAAAAAGTATGAATCTTTGTTGATCAAATGAAGGGTGTGTGGGTGTGTGAACGTAGGCAGGTTTCACAGATTCGTATTCAAATGAGTATTTCCTCTGAATGAAGTTATAAGAGGAATATAATGACTACTTATCATTTACTCTTCATTTAGCTTAATTTAAATTACCAAATCATGATCTGTCTTGCATCTGGTCTAATTCTGAGCTAGAATAAATATTTGATGAAACAAATCAATTTAGCGGTTAACTTATTCTGAATAGAAGACACAGAAAAATATTTGTATTTTTTTTCAATTAACAATTTTAGTGAAAAGATTGTAGCTGACCTTCCTTGCTCATCGTTATTTTATATTGAATACGCAGACAATAATTTTAATTTTATAATTACGGTTTATATTCAAATAATTAGACTATAATTGTAATATGTTTGTATTTAGACTCTTTGATTCCCTTACTTTAACATGACAATAGATACAATTCCTCAATTCACTAGGTATTAAATACCATGACAATTTACAAAATTAATAAATACAATGACAATTTACAGAATTAATAAATACAATGACAATTGTCAAGACAATTTCTCAATAAATACAATTTGCAGGCCGCGTGTTCGGTCTGCTGGGTATCGTAGAGAACGCGTGCACGCTGCTCGCGTCGTCGGTGTTCTCGAGCCTGTACCCGCTGACCCGCGACGCGTACCACGGAGCTGTGTTCTTCGGCGCCGCGACCCTCATGGTCCTTCCCACCGCCGTCGCCATGTTGGTTACATTCTTACTTATGTGTTCAGAGGCGTACAGTTGCATTCTTATGTGTGCAGAGGCATACGGTTGCATTCTCATGTGTGCAGAGGTGTACGGTTGCATTCTCATGTGTGCAGAGGTGTACGGTTGCATTCTTATGTGTGCAGAGGCATATGGTTGTATTCTTATGTGTGCAGAGGCGTACGGTTGCATTCTTATGTGTTCAGAGGCGTACGGTTGCATTCTTATGTGTACAGAGGCGTACCGTTGCATTCTTTTGTGTTCAGAGGCGTACGGTTGCATTCTTATGTGTACAGAGGCGTACAGTTGCATTCTTTTGTGTTCAGAGGCGTACAGTTGCATTCTTTTGTGTTCAGAGGCGTACAGTTGCATTCTTTTGTGTTCAGAGGCGTACGGTTACGTTATGATAATATAGGTCTACTTGTCAGGTTAGAAACTTGGTTTGATAATAGTTAAAAATCCGAGAAAGAGAACGATTGTTTATATGTACTGATGTTTATTACAGCAAAGTAAATTTAGCCATTATTGATACTGATTGCATTTTGGTTTCAAGTTTTAATTGCACTCTGAAGATGTTCATTTGATCAAACGAATATATGCGAGCAGCGTCTCGTATGTGGTATTTATGACGTTTATGGATTATTAAGAAAACTGCATTACAATAATTTTCCCGTCATATTTTACTAAATTCATGTGTCAGTTTGCATGAATAGCAAGAAATTTCGAACCTTCCGATATATTTTGCCCCTTGTTAAACAATGGTGCAATTTATTACTCTTTAAATAAAAGTTTTCCCTTTTTACAGAACATTATACCGGCCTCTGAGGCGTCTAGCCCGATACTCGGCTATGGAAGCTGAAGAGAACGCAACCTGTCCCGACGACGACACGGGCGGCACTGACGACTCCCAGCACAGAGCGCCATCATCTGAGCTCTCCCTTGGCGCCCCTCTTGCCAGCGATACTCATGTGGCGACGCCACAAGACGGCACTGGTTCCATCTCGTCCAATTCCAGCAGATCCTCCGCTAGTACTCCCATCACACCCATCACGCCTTCTTCCATCATTTCTGGAGTGGCAGTCTCACATTTTCCTGAGATTGTCGACACCAACTTTTCCACTAACCCTGAATTGAATTCTGCCGTCATACGATCATCTAATGAAGGTTCACGCGACAGAAGTTCAGGGAGATGAACCCCCGTTCCTATAATGTCGTAGTTTTATCTTTAATGTAAATGATAATAACTGAATCTCGTAACAGTGGAATATGTCGTAATTATTGCATATTGATCTCTCATGCAAAACGTTAGCCCATTGATAGATGCTATATATGTTTCGGACGGTCATTACCACTACACTTTTGTTTTATAATTTTGTATAGTTGTGTTTTTTGTTATGATATTCAAGTTATGATGACATCGTTCGAATTCTGTGTATTGAAATTGCAATCTTATGTGCAGTATTATTTTTTCAAAAAATCTATTTCCGATTTTTTATGTTTGAAGAGTTCTTAAGAACATACGGTATTCGAGCTTTAAAGCAACAAAACTTCCTTGCCAGTGTCTCAAGAATTAATTATATTTTTCAGATTAAGATTGTTGTATTATGGCTTAACTATTCTCTTTAAGAATATTATACTCATCAAAATATCTGTAAGTTGAAATTTGTTAAGTATTGTTTATGTTTTTGAAGATGAAGAGGTTTTTTGTTCTCATGATATGACTTTGTGCGGTCATATATAGGTACACCTACATGGTCTGGCCTCTCGTGTGCCATACAATGCTATTTTATTCCAGTCATCCAAATTGACGCAATATCTCAATAATCATGTGAACATTTTGTTGTGCCATTCAACTAGAGAAATACTTTGTACAAATCTTAAAATGTTGTCGAAAACCCTCAGGAGTTACGTTACTTCTCTGCATACCGGTATGTCTTCTGTTATGGTGCCTCCTCTCATAATTATATTTATTGAATCGAGTTGCACGAAAATTTATATTTTATTGAAACACAATCTTAGAAATGTAACTATTAAATTAGCGCAATTCACGCTTGTTCTGCATCTGGGTGCATATATTTGTATTTTGTAAGGTAATGATAACAAACTACGTCCAATATCCCCTTAGAGAGAGTCTCCTAATTAGCTTGTTTCGTCTTCGTTGGTGTCGGTGTTCACCTGTTCCTTCTTCGTTAGTGTTGCTGTTCACCTGTTCTTTCTTTGTTGGTGTTGCTGTTCACCTGTTCTTTCTTTGTTGGTGTTGCTGTTCACCTGTTCTTTCTTTGTTGGTGTCGCTGTTCACCTGTTCTTTCTTGGTTGGTGTTGCTGTTCACCTGTTCTTTCTTCGTTGGTGTTGCTGTTCACCTGTTCTTTCTTCGTTGGTGTCGCTGTTCACCTGTTCTTTCTTTGTTGGTGTTGCTGTTCACCTGTTCTTTCTTCGTTGGTGTCGCTATTCAAATGTTCCTACTTCGTTTTTGGTCTCGAAAGATATTGAAGCCTGCAGTTCTTTCACGCACGCTTCATCGCGTGCTGTTCATCTTAAACGTTCCTCTCGTTGTGTGTGATTAGTAATTTTGGATCTGAGTAACTTATGATGGCCGAGAGCTTTTGTTGGTGATGGCTATTTTGCGGATGCCGGTGCTCATGGCAACATAGAAGTAGCATCACAAAACTACTACACTATTATGTAACGTAATTATCTGGTATTTTTCCACAATCTATTAATCTACGCTCTTCGTGATACGTCTTTGGACGTACTTCTTCCTATGAATCTTGCAAAAACTGTTTGTTCTTAGCACCTGTTGGGCATTTTTTAATTCATCGTGTTCGGAAGCAGTCACGAACTCACGTTGTTAACGAGCATGTCAGGTTCAGTGTTATGTAATTTATAATATCGAAGAATGATACAGAAGTAAATTGTTTCAACACAAAGTTTTTTTTTTCAAACGTGTTTAATAAGCGGATAGTATGTATGCAAACAATTACCGATCTCCATCATCTTATCACTATTTTATCACAGCACTTCAGTGCAATCCATTTAACTACAAATTTGATTAGAAGAATCGCGCATCACGACTCGGACCTCAGTAACGAAATCCGATGCAACTTCGAGTACGCTGGTTGCCGACCGACAATTTTTTTCAAATTTAAAGCCTATTTTGGCGTTCTCCGACGTAGCTCATACGCATCTCAAAGAGCTTAGTTGACTGCAAATCATAGGTTAAATAATTGCTAAAATTGTGCCTTACTGCTTACATTTATTATGTTTTGAACCGCGTCTGAAGATTTTTTATAATTGTTGCAACTGAAAAGCAAATTTCAATGATTGAAAGCCCCAGGCTTAGTTGACTTCTTGTGACTCAGGAAGATCACAATATTTCATTAAACTTTTTAGAGCTTCAGGTGGTCTCAAGTGGCAGTCTTGATGTTTTCTGACTCTTTCTGACCTTGACAATGTTTTTTAACGATACACTAAGTAGGTAGATGGCGGAATCGCTGTAAAAGTGCGAAGTCTTTGAATTCTTTAGCTGCAAAATCCTCCAAATGTCTGCAGGACGAGGGTGTTGATTATTTCGTCCGTGCATGAAAAACCGACAAAACTGTGATTTGTGTAAACATTGGTCTTTTTCCCTCTGCGTTCTGACATTCTTCAAAAATATGCTGTAAAATCTCCCGAAAGCCTCATTACTTCTCTATGATAGAATAATTTTTCTTTGGATATTGTATGTTTGAGCAATCCCAACCCGCACTACTGAGGACTCACGATAACGGCTTAGGAAATGTGCGTGTACATGCGGCCACTTAATGTATCCAATAAAATTTCTAGATTCTAACAGCCACTTTTTATCGCGCCATTTTGCACGAAGCCGGAAGCACGATAATTACCGTGCTTAATTATCTATCGTTCATTGATAATTAATTATCTATGAACTTTTAGTGGCCGGCACTGGTGACCCATTTTACTTTAAAGTAATATTTTCCTGACGTAACAGATATCCATGCTTTTATGAATTTCACCAGCTTGCTTATTCGTGCTAGGTTTCATCTTGTATTCAGAAAAAGTTTCTTATCTATTGAATTTTCTGTAAATACAGGACTTCATTCACCCTCGAATCCATGATTCATTTACGATTATGTTAATAGGAGTGCGATAGCTGTTCACCAATGTTCGCAGGCTTGGAGATCATATACACTACTTGTTTACATTAGTGGTCTCTTATCAGCGGTGAAACCTGACAGTTATCCATAATTTCTTTTTCTCTCGGTATTCATTTTGCGCATGTGTGGCAATTAAATTTTTCAGACGTTGCTGCTGAAAAATATTTGTGATTAGATGAAAACCTGCTGCCATTTCGTATCAAGCTTTGGTAAAAGTTTGACTGGTTTGACTAATGCTTGGAACCTTCTCGCTACCTGAACCTGTAAACGTCTTACGAGTATATAGTAGGTTTGTAGTCTAATTTTGTAGTGTTGACCAACTGACCGATGTTCTTTTCGATATTTGCTGCCTTACCCAGTGGCGACCACCATTGGTTTTGAAATGTGAAACTTTCATCAAATAAATTAGATGGAAAAAATTGGCCATAGAATTTGCACTGTTCTTCGCAAATTTAAACACACCTGCGCTAAACAGGAAGTCGCAACATGAAAACAAAATAATTATTCAATGATAAACTTCGATTGAAAGCACACGTCGTATTATGACATCGATTAACCATAAACTGGATTGTTAAAAAGAATAAGTTAATCGTGTTAGAGGTTGTTATGTAGGGTTCTAATGCGAAAGATATGCGAATCACACTCGCTACGCGGGAGCCGAGTGCCTTTATGCAAATGTGGTCTTCATTTAGATTCTTAACTCTCAACGCATTTGGATTCTTTTCTCTTGTTAGCTGATGCAAATATCAGACTCTGAAGAGGAAATTCAGATGTCCATTGCATTCTTCGCTCATAACATTGGACTGCCTTCGATGTAAGAAGCCGAGAAAATTTTCATTGATTGCAAGAAGGTGCATTTCAAGCCACCTGGACAATTGTATGTGAGAGAAATAACCAGACTGGTTTCAAGAGACGCAAACATAATCGCTGAACATGTGAGCCTGCGTTATGCTTTTGGCAGGGCTGTAATTTCTGGGAAAAGTGCACATGCGAGGCCAGAATCACAAGTCAGCCAGCATTTGCACCACCAGAAGTCGTGCACACCCGAAAAAAAAACCGGCTGTTTGACGCGTTGAGGAGCCTCTGTAATGAGTACCGCCGAACTATAAACAAAGTCTGCTTCATAATATCGCTCCCTTGTTCCTCCCAAATATGGTCTCCGGAATCCAGTCTCTGCTACTGTGCGCTTCGCTACGATCCTCGTCTCGGCAAACGTACGACTGAGCCTTTCACCCGCCGATTCCTTGTGGACGATTTCTCCAGCAAATCGTGAGTTGAGGCAGAAGAAATTTCTCTGTCAGCCACATCTGTGCATTTACTTTTGAATCAATCATGTACTATCACTGCCTGAACAGTAATCCTTACTCTCTTCTGGTTTATTTGATATTTACAGCCAGAAGATGGTTCGGATAAAATATTTATTCTCCGGTAAAATAAACAGAAGGAAGATTTTTCTTAAATAAGATAAATCCCACATTTAGTTAACTGAAAATCGTGCCTCCTTCACCAAAAGATAGTTTTTCTCCAGTTGGGTGGAGCCTTTATATAGTTGAAGGAAATCCTCATTTGATCAGCAAGGATCATTTGTATGTTATGTTATTAAACCATTATCACCTTGAACTGAAATCTAGCAAACTTTTTTTATTAAATAATATTTTTCCTTAACCAGGTAATGATAAGGCGAATCAGGCCTCGTCCCATGACCGTTTTTGGGTGCAGCGATGCAAGGAAAGATATTTTTTCAACAGTTCGTACCCATGAACCTTGAAATGCAAATTAGAAGGCCAGAAAAATACGTTTGACAGCCATGCACACATCCTTAGTGTTGGTAGAGCAGGCCATCTGCTGTCAGCGCCGTAAAATGTCCCGGCTATTTCTGTTATGCGAGATATTGCTGTAGAAACTGAATAAGCATTAATTTATTTAATTGTAATAATATATAAAATTTGCTTCGTTCCAAAGTCGATTTATTTCATAGGCTCAGATTATTTGGGTAAGCAAAATTTACACGAGTTTTCAGCTCATCACCAGGTCCCGTTTAGCTAAAGCAATTTTTCTTCTAATTAAAAACATTATTACGTAACTAATATTTAAATCTTGCGAGCTTGGCTTGTTTGAGAAAAATGTGTGTCTGGGCATTAGAGACACCTCACCATTCCTTTCTAGTATATTAATTGCAAAACTAGGATATTTCGTGAAATTTACGAATTACTCTGTTATTTTTACCCCATTCTACAGAAGCGCGCTCCATAAATCTTCAACTACCCATACGGTACAGGCTGGACTTCTCAGGCCAAATTCAGGTTATATAAATTGTAATCTCAAAGTGTACATTTAAAATATTAAAAATGTATCGGCATCTAATGAATGGGGCTTATTTTCAGTTCTTCTTACATTTAAGGAGTACGGGCGCCAGTCTGAAGCCAAGAATTTTCATAAGACATTTGTACCTCCTCGCCTCTGAGCATGCAGTTCAAAAGCGGCTTGTGGCCGCTGCAATCGAACGCATTAACCAGTTAACTGAACCGCTCCTCGCCGGCACTTTATATGAGCCACATAACTCATACGACATCAAGATAGGAACGTTAATCAGAATTTGAGCGGCGCAATTAGGCCCATAGCAAGAGTGTGCGAATTGTGTGCAGCTTTCGGAGCCGTTGTTCTGCTGCTGCTGGGGCTCTGTTGGACTCAACTTACAGGGACATGAACGTTTCTTCATTATGGACTCTAAATTAATATTATTTATAGAGTATCTTTGATTCAGAGGAATAATGAACTGATTGTGGCATTCAAAAACTTATTTTCGGAAAAAATTTTTTACTCTCGTTTCATATATTTTTTAACTCTGACTTGAAATTCATTAATTAGGCCGTAAACAACAACTTTACACGAACACATCAAATCCATTGTGTTATACTCACAAAATTAGCCGAGGTTTCCTCTATGCGATTTATTTTATAGCATACTAATGATGAGAATGGGTCGCCGAATTTTAATGCCAATAACAAAAGAATTATTTCCGTAATAATTAGCATCAATCTTGGTTCACTTAAATTTATTCTTTCAATGAAAAATTATAGGATTTGATAAATTTAGGTATAGATAATCTAAGCCTGCATCAATTTAAAATTTAGAAACAAATTTTTCGAGATTTCCACAAAAACCTATTATTTAAAGGTTAGAATAAGAGTTATTCGTGATTTACAGTGCTAGATTTCGGAGCAAAGTTGGACCATTTTTAGCTTTTAAGAAAAGTGGAGCAAATAAATTGCCATCTGGAGGCGCACAAAGCCAGCAATATTCATTAATGTTTATGTTCATAAGGCAGCCAAACATTATCGTGTCCGCCATTTGCATTATAAATGAGGAGAGTAGGAGAGTTCTTCATCACAGATTATATAGCACTAATAATATAGTTTTGTTTACTGCCTTAATTTGAAATAGGAACAATAGTAACTTTTGGATATCATTCTCTTCGACTCGTAACAAGCCTCCCCTGCACTTGATTATTCTCTTTGAGTTGTAACAAGTCACCCACTTTATTATTCCCTCCAAGTCGTAGCAAGTCACCCCACTTTATTATTCCCTCCAAGTCGTAACAAGTCACCCCACTTTATTATTCCCTTCAAGTCGTAACAAGCCTCCTTTTTCTCAGAGATAAGGCCGTCGACGCTGCTGAAACTGAGACCTCCGCGATACGGAGTTTTCATTTGTCACTCGTCGCAGAGAATAGACCACTCGAAGCTCGCTCACTAAAATAGATGCAGATTAAA